ATATATATATATATTTCCATATGGAGATGTGTTTGTGAATCTTATTTGTCTGTATTTCTAGTGCTATAAATAAAAAACCCTCCATAACCCTATTATAGCCAGTTTACTCTGCTAATCTAATGACTGAACTGATATACTGATATGTTGGAACACTTACGGGTTGAGATACTGTCTTTAAAAGAATGCAAGCCGAAGGGCTCTTGCTTGATAATTTCTAAAGGTTCATTTTATTCAGATTCAGTAAATAAATTTCCTCTAGGGCTGGGGGGATAGCTCAGTGGCTTAAGCGCCTGCCTGGCAAGCACAGGTCCTGAGTTCAGTCCCTGGTACCAAAAAATAAATTAAATTAAATAAAAATACAAGCCCAATAAATTCCTCTAAGAAAACAGGTAAATGTATTGTTTTCCTGACAGGACTTTATATTTTTATGCCAAGAAAAATTGTTTTGTGAAGAATTCCTTCCTAATATAAGTAATCTATTAATGTAGATCTCTATGTTAGATTTTAAAGGAGGGCTGTCTTTGATAGGTATTTCTATTATCAAAACATAATTTATAAGGGACATCTTCACAGCACATATGTGATAGGGCAAGTGGAAAATGATGTTAATAATTCAGGGGAGAAAAATGATGAGTTTTATAGGTTCATCTTTAATCTTTTACCTAAATATTTCTGGAGAGGGAGGGTGCTGGAGATCGAATCCGGTGCCATATGGTCTTACCCATTAGGTATGATGCCCTTTCACTGAGCTACATCCCCAGCCCTGAACTTTGGCTTTAGTCGGTTTTGTCACCTCTTTGTTAATCTACCCCATTTGTAATATTTTACATTGCCTCTCTGCTGTCCAGGGTAGCGTCCTGCTGCTTTTGCCCTTTCCTGTTCTGGTGAGGTCATGCTAACATGCTATATTTAAAGACCAAAATATAATAAGATATATATATATATCTTATTATATTTTGGTCTTTAAAAAGATTCCCTGCAAGCAGTGACGTTACCTTGAATTTATCTTTGGGTTCCCAAAACCTAGCACAGTCCCCGGTACCCCGCAGGGGTTGACTACATGTGAGGTCCGAGCAACTGCGCCCCCTCTCTGAACTCCACCGGGCAGTGAGCTCATTAAGGACACACTGTACTGTGATGACAATTGACAGTGACAGCGACTGAAGCAGGCAGGGGACTGCAGAACACTAGGGGACAGGAGAAGCAAACACCCCTGCAGTCGGTGGTGGCAGATCCTGACTCAGAACAGACAAGACACCTCACGGCTGGATGTTTGTAATTTTCAAAGTACTTTTCCAAGATCCGTATTTCCTTTCGTCTTTAACTCTTCCGTTATGAAGTATGAAATTATTTCATATCTAAACCACACAATTCAGACAGGAAAAGAGGCAAGGGAGCACTTTTACTATACAGCGTTCCTTACTTCAAGGGAAAAATCAAAGTGATCTTGCACAAGGAGAATGAAGGGTTGGTTGGTTATACTTTCTACACAATCAGAAAAACATTCAGGTTAAAAGCCACGAACTGACTAAAAAAAAAAAAAAAAAATTCTGATTCATAAAATAACCTATCAACTCCAAGGTAATTTGCGATACAAGAAACAATACTATCATTTTCCAAATCATTTCCCCCCTCAGGGTGGGATTAAAAATGCACGGCACATCTACTGTTGTAACCGACACAGCGAAAAATCCCCCTCTCAATCTCAAGAAATGCATTCACCCGGCATTTCATCTCTGGCAAACCGCTTACCTCAAAGGTCTTCGCCACCTTTGGGGAGCCCCCTTCGTCTCCAGGGCGATCTGCGAGGCATCCTGTACTGCGGTCCTTAAAGAAGAATTACATTTCCATCAGATATATATATATATATATTTAAATATATATATATTTATATATATATATATATATATATTTAAAATATATTTAAAAATCGGGTTCACAAGGGCCTGGGTTGATGAGGAAGACTCACCATCACACGGCGTGCTCCGCCGGGATCCCCAAGCCAAGAGAAAAAGCGCGACCGGTCAATCCAACACCGGGGCGCGAGTGCCGAGCAAGGGCGACCCCCCACTTCCTACCCCGCCCCACGGGGCGGCTGTTTCGATCCTCCTCCGCTAGCTGAGGAAGAAGACTTGGTTAAATTCCCGGGGCCGGAGTTCACCGGCAAAGAACAAGAAGGCAATTGTCTCCCCGTGCGTGCGTCCGAGTAAATCGTCTAGACTGGGTGTTAAGCCATTTATAGCGCGGCCGGGCGCGGGCCGCGTGGTGCCGTCAGTCGCGCCGCACAATGGGCGGCCGGCAAGTGGGCCGGGTCGAACGCGGACGCTGCCGCGGGCGTGCAGGGTGCAGGGGTGCAGGGGACCGCGAACCCGCACCTAGGGCCAAAACCACGGTGGTCCTGGGTCATTTAATCATGACGCCACAAAGAAGCGGGTTAAGCGGGGACAAGCGCAGATAAAAAAAAAAAAAAAAGCCGAATGCGTCGGAGGACGACAGAGGGGAGATGGCGAGGGAGCCCAGGCGGCGGGGCTGCGGGATCGGGGTGTCCGGCGACGCTGGTGGTAGCCCCGACCCGACCCGCGCCCGCTCCCCCAGCTTCCCCCACGGGGACCTCCCAGGCGCGCAGGACCAGGACCCCGAGGCGTGGCCGGGGTCGGCTCGGCTCCCTCCGAGCTCGGTTTCTGCGGGAGAGAAAGGGGGCGAAGGCGCCGGCTCTGGGGGGAGCGGAGGGCGCGCGGCGCGGGAAAGGCCGCCCCGCTCTGCCCCCGCCGCCCACCGCGCCCTCCCGCCTCCTGCTCGGGCTCTGGTACCTGGCGGGCTCGGGCCGCGGGGGCGCGCTGGCCGTGGCGAGGCCGCGGGCGGGAGCGAGCCCAGCGGCATGGTCTGCGCAGCCCCGGGAGCTGCGACCCCCGCAGCCAGGCGCGGACCCAGCTCAGCCCTCCGCGCAGCCCCTGCAGCATGGCCGGGAGCAGCTTCCGCCCACCGCTCCTCCCGGGCTGCAGGCGCCAGTGCCGGAGCGGGGGTCCCCGCCCGCTGTAGGTCCCGCGCAGAGCGCCGAGAGCGCGCCTGCTCCGCGCGGCGAGCATCCCCGGGATGCTCACTTCTGCTGCGCAGAGGCTTTTCCTGGACTCCACGTTCTGCATTCTGCTGCATTTGCGGCAGCGCGCTTGCCCACGCGGATCCCCGGTTGCAGATTGAAGGGAGAGGCATAAATTTGGATTTTAGTTCCTGAAGCCCCTGACGAAAGTCCTATTTCTAACCCAGTGCCACAAGGTCTTGCGTCCCCAAAGCGCTGTGCTGTTCCTGCCCAAAGATTAAAATATCCCTCAGCATTTTCAAGCAACACAGACCTTCGAGAGGCCCCAGTTATACCATAGTGTTAGGCTCCCTGCTGTTGGCCCGGGCAGCAATGTGTAGAAGGAAAACGGTAAAGTGCTGCTGGGAATGATGAGGGTAACCATTGTCTTTCCCACTGCGGGGCATTGTCAGTCTAAATCACGAGGCTTCCTGCCGCTGGGCCTAATAGGAAATGGTTACTGGGGCTGACTTGACTTTGAAAAGAGGGGATGACAGTTTACTCTGGGTGAAAGTTGAATCTGTCTAGTTTTAGCATTGATTTTGCCACAGTCCTACAGATGATGTAGTTCTAATCCTATGGACCAAAAAAGCCCTTCACTTCGCCCTTTCTCTTTTATTAGGGTGGGGTCTCAGAATAAGAGAGGGACAGAGAGAGAGACCCTGAGACCACAGGGCACCAGTTTGCTGCCCCCAAGATTTAAGAATAAGAATCTTTCGGGATCATGACGCAATGCAATGACCAGATACTAGGTCTCAATTTAAATACAACACAATTCCTAGGGAGAAGACTTCTGGACCTGGATGAGCAAGGAGTTTCTGAACAAAGCCCCCAAAGCCCAGGGAAAAAAGATTACAACAAACTAAAAAGCTTCTCCACAGCACAAAGTGAAGAGATAGACTTCTGAAAGGGAAGAAATGTTTGCAAACTACGCGTTTGACAAGGACTAGAGACCCCGACAAGGACTCGATATGCAGCATACCGTTGGGAATTTGAAAAACTAAGTTGCAAAAATAAACACCTGGGGCCGAGGAGCTAGCTCAGTTGAATAAGCACTTGCCTGGCAAGTGCAAGGGCCTGAGTTCAATCCCTAGTTCCCCCTCAAATAAAAAATAAAAAACATTTGTATTTAAAAAATGGGTACTAATAGCTCAGTGGACTAAAGCGCCGTCTTAGGCAGACGCAGAGACCAGGGTTCCATCTCAGGCGTGCTGCGCTGACCCCACCCCCCCGGGGTGCACTGAGACAGTCAGTGATTAAGACTAGGCCTGGTGACCCATGCCTGTAATCTCAGCACTTGGGAAGCTGAAAACAGGAGCATCACTACAAGTCAGACCTGTGTAGTGAGATTGAGACCCTGTAGACCCTGTACTAAATGCATTTAAAAAATAAATAACAATAAAAATGGGTAGTAGATCTAAATAGACATTTGTGGGGCTGGGGAGATAGATAGTTCAGTGGCATAAGTGCCTAACAAGCTCAAGGTCCTGAGTTCGATCCCCAATACCACCAAAAGAAAAAAGACATTTGTCAAAGTAGCCAATAAGTATATGAGAAAATGTTCAGTATCATGAATCATTAGGGAAATGCAAACCAAAGTCACAATGAAATATCACCTCACCCCAAGAAGAACAGTTTTTAATTAAAGAAATTAAAAATACCTAAGTGGGGTGGGGATGGGGCACAGCTCAGCAGTGTAAGTGCCTGCCTGGCAAGCAAAAGGTCTGGAGTTTGATCCCTGGCACTGCAAAAATAAATAAATGAATAAATACCTAAGCATTTAGGAATATAGAGAGAATACAGCCCTTACATATTGTTGGGTAGGAATGCAAATTAATAATACAGTCACTATGGAAAGCCACACAAAGATTTCTCCAAAGATTAAACAGCTCCCAGATGATCCACCATTCCCATTGATGGGTCAATATCCAAAAGAAGTGAAGTCAGTACGTCTTTGACGTCTACACTCCCATCCACACACTGTTCACAATGGCAGAGAAATGGAGGAGAAGAGAGCAAGGGAGGGGAGGAAGGAGGGAGAACTTGATGGGCTAGGAGCCTGCTAAAGTATTTTGACAAAAGAAGGATATAAGGCGTTGAGGAGTTTTAGCCAAGAGCAGAGAGGTTCCCATTTGCATTTGGAGCCTTTTTTGTTGCTACACCAAGAATGGCACAAAGGGAAACAAGGGAAGAGAGGAAAGATTCCTTGGAAGCTGTCTGGTACCCGGATGATGGTAATGTGGGTGTGGGGAAACAGCAGGTAGCAATCAGCCTTGAAAGAGAGCAAAACTGCCAGCCCAGGGGGCAGGTTCCTGCCCCGCCTGCCACCACTGTTCTCTTGCTCAGTGGCTCCCCTATAAGGTAGGTAGGGCAAGGATAGACGGATTGGGACTGTTGTTTTTGATCTCTAGTCTACAATGCTGATTAATTTCTGGTGACGTCTGATGTTCAGGAGAAGAGGCTAGCATGGACAGATATTGGTGATCTCCTGGGTGTGTCTGAGACCCAACCCTTCTGTTTGCAACCAGCCGTGGTATGGAGTAAGAGGCTAGTAAGCCACAGCCAAGGGTGAATCCACTCTCTCAGGTCTTTAAATACAATTTTATGGATGCATTCCCATGCTTGTTCTTCTACATATTGTCTGTAATACTAGGGTTAATCTTATCAACTTGATTGGTGGCATTACTGGAGCCTTGCAAGAGGGACAATACAGGACCCATTTTTGAAAGATTACTTTATAATGAATCACCCAAAGAATCATGTACCAAGAGTGCAGGGAATCTGTCCACAAAGGACAAAAGAATCCAGCCCGAAGGCCTGGATATCATAGTAGTGTCCTGTATGACTCCAGCTGAAGACCCAGAGCCCCTAACAATGCCTTCCAGGAGTTCAACTGGAGGCCTAGGGCCTGTGACAATGACTCATGCATGGCCTACTTCACGGATCTGTGCTGGGAAAACCCAAAGATCAGTGGTGGAAGCTAGGAAGTCTATGCCAGTGGAATGAAGGATCTGTGCCAGCAGGCTGAGGGATCTGAACTGGAGTGCGGAAGCAAGGCTCAGGGGATAGAATCTGAGCTCCTCCCAAAAGTACCCAGCCATCCTCAGCAACAGTGAGGTCCTGAGCTCCTTTTAGGATAAGGAAAGCCAAGTTCCCATCAGGAAAACCAACTTGACAAGCTTCTCCACGAGGCTGAGGAGTATACCATCTTCCACTCCAGAGCCAGGAAGTGATGCTCAAAGTGAGGACCAGAGCTACCCAAAATACCACAGCCATCCTCAGTGATGATGTCTCCAACTCTTCTTCTACAAAGAACAACTAAGTTTACCAGGAAAGCCAGCATGACAATGATGAGGTCTCCCAGCAGAATAGCCTAAGGGAATCAGCAGCTTCCAACAACTCCCCAGCAACTTCCAAGTGGCTTCCCTAACAGTCTCCAACAGGTTTTCTAGTTCTGCTTCTCATGCCACTGGCAACAATCCTCAGGTGGGCCTCCAACACTCAGCACCCAGTTTAGCTGTGTTTAACAAGTCGACCATCAGTTGGAAATCCACCACTACTGGCTTAGGAGGCACCTGGGGGACTAGTGAAGCGCCCATCTGTGTGTGCCTGGTGGGTCATGGAGGGGTGACTTTTCTCTTTCCCTGGTCCCTTTCTCTCTGGTGCTCCCATCTTGCGTACTGCTTCCTGTCAGCCATGATATAAGCAGAATTACTCCACCATGCGCTTCGGCCAATATGTCACTGCCTTGGAGGCAGCCGCCATGTCCTATCTGAAGATTGCTGCAACTTGACTATCTCTATTATCTACCACCAGTCAAATCCAATTTACTAAGAAGGTCACCTGATATTTGTAGTCTATAATAGCTTCCTCAAAAATCCTCAAGCTCATTGTCTACTCATGCAAAAGGATCGTTCATGTCTAGTGGATACAATGATGAAAGAGTGAATTGTGGGTAAGGAATGTGCAAATGATCACTCAGCACATTCACGTCACACACATGCAACACTGCCCTCGCGTAGGGACTTAAACTCTTGGCCAGAAGTGAAAGCCACTCACCCATACTCTCAGGCTTGTGTTGAGAGCCCACTCTTCCTTGAGTGTACTATCACCTCATAAACTTTGCTGACTTCTTTCTTTGCGTCTGTGTGACTCACCCAATTCTTTGTGACACACAAGATCCTGGATCTCTAG